CATTAACAGGGCAGTTGTAAACAAAATAATGGGTAATCAACATTGTTTTTTGTCAAATGCTAAAACAACAGAGTGATAGAAAAACATGCAGGGAAATCATATAAAACGTAAAAGTAACACAAACTATTTCTAGATGCCAACACAATGCTGTTATCGATCCAGCTTGACGTCAACATAATATTACTAATCCTCGAAAATTCAATTTCACTTACCCACTAAAAGTGTTGCAAAAGAAACAATGAAAGTTTGAAATACATGTCTTTATTATATGTCCGTCAAATCTTTAAGTTTTTTTTTCCCTTACATAATATTTTAGGTTTACGCCTCCATCAAAACAATTTAGATCATTTTGTTTCAGTGGCAGGCCACTTTGACTTTTCTTGCCACAGCCAACCCAGCCATGGTGGGAAACAACATTCTGGCAGATATTTGATTTTTTAAAAAAATACCACTCCCCACTCAGGAATCAAACTCATGTCTGCCGCATTCAACACCAAAGAGCCTAACCACTACATCACAGACGCCAAAAAATCAATATGGGCATGCACCCACGTGTATGGTATAAATATGTGTCATGACACGGTGGAATCAGACGCTCGTCCATTTTTGGGCAAATATGGTGTTATAAGTATAATCTTAAAGCTTGCTCATTGTCTTGCATTTGGCGAAAAAAATAAAAAATACCCATCTATCTTGATTTGAAGTCCAAATATTTGCGATAGAAGGATGTGAAGCCTTGTGTCAGGGGTAAAAACAGCGAGAAAATGTTCGCCAAAGTTTGATGACTCAAAGCTTGAGTGTCTTTGGAAGCGCAAATTTACATTTTAGGTGCCTTTGATCGATTTTTTTAGTAAAATCCCCACAGGAATGTGTTTTTAAAAGGACATAGAGGGTATTGAGCCAAAAACCAAAATTAGATAAAAATTGACTAACTCGAGGAAAAAATGCACGTTTCTTCGATTACATTATTTTGACGAGCGTCTGATTTCACCACGATGCCTCACATTTGATAGAAAAACGCTCCCAACTCAGGAATTAAACTCTTATCTGCCACACATTCAACACCAAAGAGCCTAGCCACTACACCACAGACGTCAGAAAGTCACGCATGTGCATGCATACAAGTGCATGGTATAAATATGTCATTTACACATACATACTGACTTAGCGACCAGTTTATTATACCAGTAGATGGAATCCTAGCCATCACGCAATTGTAAACAATGTGTAGTAAAAATATACTTTTTACAAGACAACCAGTGTTGGATACATTGCACACTACTCTCAAATGTTTATATGGATAAACATGTATGGAATAAATATGATTTATACGTAACAACCACCAGTTTTGTTTTAGATACATTGGGTCCTATAGTCATGAAAATGTATACATGTGTGACTTAAATAAATTATTATCCATAACGACTAATTTCGGGTACAGTTTCTATAATCCATTGCATATATGTACACACATACGTGTGACATAAGTAGGTCTTATCTAAATTATAATCCATACCAACTACTTTTGGGTATATGTTTTATTATTATTAGTTATTATATTAGTATTATTCAAGCACATAATATGTATACACATGTATGGCATAATATATGATTTATCCATAATAATAATAACTAGTTCAGGTTCATGTGTCCTCTTGTCCATTTGAATATTAAATAATAATATTTGTATAAACATGTGTATAGTATAAAAATATTTAAATTATTCATGATAACTAGTTTGGGGTACATTGTGTCTTTGCCAACACATGTATACTTATACTGTATACACATTTATACATATACGTACAAAAGGACACATGAATTACATAGAAATATGATTTATACACAATATACAGGAACGGAAGGATTCACTGTGTTAAACAACATACAAGTTATAAGACAACCATGCAACATAAAGAGGAAACAGTAAACTATACAGAGTAAACTTGTCTTGTCATTTGTTCATAATTGCTCATTTCACATTTTGCAAAAGATCTTGTCAGAGGGTCAGTGTCAGTGTTTGAGCGCTTCATAAACTGCTTGCACTGTATGCTTCCTAGAAAGCTGAAAATGTTTTTGAGCGTTCTGGGGTTCTGCTGGGGTAATCTTACAGTAAATGTAAAGCGCATAGAACCTGCCGTAAAGCATGGGTATGAGCGGTATGAATGTAATTATTATTGTTCAATTAAAGAGAAGCATGTCAACATGTTTATTAATAACCGGCATTCAGGGCTGGAGAAAAAGTCAGATACACTTGCAGAAACAACAGAGGGAAAGAAAAGAAGCAGCTCAGTCCAACAGCCTCGTGCTCATTTCCCATGTACCTAGTGACACAGAATTATTTGAAGAGAGTTGTAAGTAACTTTCTGATGAATAAATAAAATATTGTAGGAACAATATCTTTTTTAATAGGTTTTGGATTTGATGTACGAAAATATTCGTTCAGTGCATAACGGACAGTTGATGTAGAAAATGAATTAATGTAGAATTTCAAATACATTATGTATATGCAAGAAGGGAGAAAGATGTTTGAACAAGTTACAATTTACATTGAAATGAAAGGCCACAGAACTAGCATTGTACATAAATATTATATCTGTTGTCACCAGTTGTCATGAGTAATGTTTGTCTGTTTGCCTCTTGAGGAAGTCATGAACTACAGTGGAGTCAGCTAAAATAGAAATATCTGTAAGACCGCAGGATTTTCTTCTGTGTAGCTCGAATTCGAATAGAAGAACTAAAATTGGGGATTTTCTTTCAGTCTACCACAGTTTTTGGATTAATCGTGTTTGGTTTAAGCAGACTTCATTTTATTTTTGACATTTAATCAGGGTAAGTAAAGTTTTGAAAAGTGAATCAACATTTTACGACTTTCACGTGTTTGTTTGTTTGAGTAAAGAGAGGCACATCAACACAATAATGGTCATTTAGTGCTGGGAAAAAGTAAAACAGACAGACAGAAACAACAAACGGAAAGTAAAGATATAGGACCTACCAGTGGCATCCTCAAACCACCCACACTTTCCCTTGTACAACAGATATGTTCACATAACTGTACATCACTTGGCAACTACTTCTCTCCTCAATCATCGCGACCCACAAGAAAAACTTACAGACAACCCAAAGGGGCCAAAAACCCCAACAGATTTAGAAAAATGATTTCAATATAAACTATGGAAAGGCATAAACAAACATCTCATTAGTCCTTTTGGCAAAAGTCTAAGGGAAAAGATGGTAAATTGAAAATAAGTGAAAAACTAAAGCATTCTTGATATATCAGCAAATTGAAGCAAAACATTAAAGGAAGAAAATCCACTCAAAGTGGACAGAAACTGGTCAAGGTAAATGACCTGATCTATCACTTATGGCATTCTGGAGTTTACTGGAAGGAAAAACAAAATAAATAGATAAAAGCAAGAGACATCAATGTCCCCAAAGTAGAAATAGGCAACAATATGAATTTTGAACGTCTTTGAGATCAGTGCAATGTTTAATTTCAGTTTTAGTAAAAGTTTTACTTGCAACACGAATAGGTCATATAAGTGTCAAAAATAGAGGTTACTACAGAGTAACATACAAAGAAAAAGAAGGAGAAGAGATAAGGACAATAGACACAAGGAAAGTTCATTTTCGCATTATGAAAAAAAAATGCAACTGTCTTTGCACATTGTGAGAATCTCGTTAAAACGACTACACAATATGTTTTACCCCACCATCCACACAACAAAGGAAAGGTGGCCAAGTTACAGCACAGACAAGCACATAGACATGATAGCCATCATTTAGTGTAGAAGAAAAATCAAGATAGACCAAACAAAACAACAGTGGGAATGGCCTAAAGACAACTTCAATCAGTAGCACTGCCCTGGGTAGTAGATACTAGATATACAATGATGATAAAAAAAAACAAGAGCGAGATCGGGACGGGGCAGAGAGATATTCACAACACTGTCTTGGTAACATAAAAACCAGTTCAAATACAATCATGAAAATGTCCGAAAAATTATCGTTTGAGATGAGAAGAAAATGGAAACAAAGATAAATTACATCACAGAAATTTTTCAAGACACAGTTTACAATAGCTAAACAAGTCGAGAGAGTAACATTAGTAACAATAAATAAACGTTCTATCTATCAGAGGAACGGTACCTTCAGCGACAAAATGAAGCAACAAAACCACTTGCCAGGCAAGACTCAAGGTAAGAGAACTGAGCAACAACCAACTGACAGATCAGGAAAAGAAGATGGTGATAGATTGAGCACATGCTTTGGAAACTAGCCCTTATTGTGACAAGATTTAAGCCAATAGTTGAATCCCCCAGAGAGGAAAAGAGGAATGTCGAGATCACCTGGTAGTATATATATCTCAGGTATATATGTGTCAAGACGTGGTGGAATCAGGCGCTCATCAATTTTTGAGCATATGGGGTTTTTGGTATTATCTTAAAGCCTGTTCATTTGCCTTGCTTTTGGTGAAAAAATATCCATCTATGTTGACTAGAAGTTGAGAAAATATATGCAATTGAATGAGGTGAGGGTTGGCTGGTTTCAGAGCTAACATTAATGAGAAAATGGCCGTCAAAGTTTGATAATTTCCATAGCTTGAGAGTCCTTGGAAACTGAAAATCTACATTTTTTGTGCCTTTAATAATTGTTTTTCAGTAAAATGCCATGTTTTTTTTAATGGATACATAAGGTGTTAAGCCAAAAAAAAGAAAATTATAAAAAAATTGATAAACGGTCAAAAAACCGCCAATTTCTGGGATTTCATTACTTGAACAAGCGCCTGATTTCACCAGGATGCCTCACACATATGGGGCGCAGTTGGCTGGAGGTTTAGAACAATGCCCGGAACACAGACAAGTGAACAGCCCTTCTTGGCAGCCTATACCCAATACCAGGGTGAAAGAGGCAGATGATGATGATGATGATGATGATGATGATGATGATGATGATGATGATGATGATGATGATGATGATGATGACGATGGTTTTTAAAATTTTTATTTCCATAATGGGCTTGGTAGACTCCATGAAGATTTCTTCGGGCGAGAGTGAGGCTTTTTTTCCGCTCAATTATCATTATACTCAAAGACACCTCCACTCATCCAAATAACTCCATTCGAGTGATGATGATGATGATGATGATGATGATGATGATGATGATGATGATGATGATGATGATGATGATGATGATATGATGATGGTGATGATAATATAATGACACAAGGTGCACATCTAAAAACACTAGAGTAGTACTGTACAGACCCTATCGTCTGCACTATGGAAGGAAAACTTTTTTTAAAGTCAACTTTTGGACTGTGAGTATTGGACAGATAACATGGTTAAGCCGGGTACAACAGGCTAGCAGAGAGAGACAGACTGAAACATTCGAATAAATAACTTCCCTATGAGGGCTTTGATCTCAAGTCTTGTGCACACAAAGGTGAACGGTATAACAATAAAGCAACAGATGGTGATGTGGCATGTTTTTAAATAGATGCCAGTATGGCACGCAAACAGTCTAACATACACATACAGTGCAGCCTCTCTATAACCACATCGTCGGGACCAGAAAAAAAATGTCGTTATAGAGAGGAAACAAAAAATTACTAACGATATTAAGAAGAAAAAATCGGGACCCGAGCAAACTGTAGCTATACAGAGAATGTCGTTATATCGAAGGCCGTTATGTAGACAGGCTGCACTGTAGCAGAACACACACTAAGCAAACAGATTTTCAGGTTCCGGGTATCTTTTTTACATGTATATTTTTTTTATTCATAAACTTCCATATTACGACAAAATGGCATCCCAACATGATCATTGCAGTCTAAAAAATACCCAGCGAACATCCCCAATGATCAGAGAACGGTTTAAAAAAATTTTTGAAATAAATTTGATGAACAAATAATGCTAAAACTGCACTTTCACCAAAAGTGTCATCACAGCAAATAATTCCATGCCGAAGTGAATTTGCAAAAGTTGGGGAATTACTGTCATATGGGGGAGGTCGCCTAAACATTAACAAAACTCTCATCACTAATACCAGGATGTCCTAATAACTTAAACACAGTTGGTATATTTTCAATTTTTTAACTTAAAAAATATATTTAGGTGTTTTTACCCCCCACCCCCTTCAAATCAACACAATTAAATCGTTTAGGAGGCGGGCTTTAACTCTTCCTATCAGGGACAACCCGGGCTGAGAGGGATATAAACATGTGACACTTGATACCTTGACCAGAACTGATTTTACTTCACTTTACTTTTCAGATACAGCAGCCATTTCAGTTCTAACCCTTTGGCCTGTCAATATGGCAAAGAATTACCTTGACCAAAACAAAAACCTAACAAATGGACATGGTATACAATGAATCCTAAGCCAACTAAACCTTTGGGGCACTCCTATCATTCGTGATCGCTTTCTTCAACTTGGAACCCTTCCTGATGTCACCCAGCAGAGCCGATCTACCCGAGGAGCTGGACGGTGGGGAGGAGACGGCCGGGGGAGGAGGAGGAGGAGGGAGACTGCCGCCCGGGGGTGGGGGTGGTGGTGGTATAGGGGCTGAGGGAGGGGGTGGGGGTGGGGGTATCGCGGACGTCGACAGTTGGGTGTGGAGTCCGGAGGGGCCGGCCGTTGGTGATGTCACTTGGCTGGTGGTGGGCGAGGAGTTGCCTTTGGAGCGTTTTTTTCTGGGGAGGAAATTATGGAGTTGTTTAAGTTCAAGAGAAGCACACGTTGACATTGTTTTAGTAAGCTTTTTACGGCATTTTCAACACAATTAGGTCATACAAGCGCCGAAGAATAGATGTATTACAAGAGAGTAACCTACACAATTTAGTTTCAGTAAGAGGCTTACGGCACTTGCAACACAATTAGGTCATATAAGTGAGGAAGAATGGATGTGTTACAAGAGAGTAACATACACAAAAAATGAGGAGGAGACATGAGGACGATAGATGCTTAATAGGAAAGAAGAAGCAAACCACACCAGAGCACCCCCTGACCACCCACACACGCTGACAGTGGTCTGAATAGTGTCATAAAAAAGGCAAAAACACTTTTGCGTAAAAAGAAACACATCAACACAACAACTGTCACTTAATGCTTAGTTTAGTCAAAGTACGAGTTTTACTGCACTTTTAACACAATTAGGTCATTTAAGTGTCACAGACTAGAGGCGCTACAAGAAAGTAACATACGAAGAAAAGAAAAAGGAGAGTAAGGATGATAATAATATAGTATTCTAAAAAACAACAAAACAAAGAAATACAGAATTTTTCGTTGGGGTTTGAACAAAGAGATGGTCATTTACCATTGAGAACATGAAAAAATTGATTTTAAGCTGAGAGGAAAATATCAACAAAATAACAGCCATTAGGCCAGTAAGTGTAAGAAAATACAAGATTCACATTTGAGAATACTCCTGGTATGAAGATCTCTTTGGAACTTTCAGTGTTTCTCAAAAAATCATTTTGAAAGACTGCTGCTATGCAAAGCGTATGGACTGGATCAACGAGTAAATTTCCTCTTTGGAAAGTGGTGGCACAGAGTTCCTCACGTCGTAAGGATACGATAGTAAAACACGACGTACGGATAGGGTTAAAGCTTAAACATTACAACAATAATGCTCAATGTTACAATGAAGTAATATATTGTTAGTGCAAGCTGAAACAAGTAATTGCAAGTGTGAACATATAAGACAAATCAATGTAACAGTGGGATTGTAAAAACTTTTAAAGTGAATAAACAGAAGCGCCATGACAGTCATTTAGTCCATGAAAAGTCAGGACAGACATAAAAACAACCGTAAACAACTAAACTTTAAAAAAACAATAAATCAGTTATAGCAATTTGACAACATCAAAAGCTAACACAAAATGACATCTGAAAACGGATCAACAAAATACTTCAATGTGTGGACAAATGGACGACCATCTCAGCAGGTGTTGTAGGCTTTAACAACACCAAAAAAACCCAAACAAAAATCAAACACTGCGAAAAACAACAACAGCAGCACCATCCATTCACCTGAGAAACTTAGTTTTAATAAGAGTTTTACGACACTTGCAACACAATAAAGTCACATAAGTGTCGAAGATTAGAGGTGTCACAAGAGAGTAACAAACACAAAAAAGAAGGAGAAGAGATCATGACGACAGATGTTTGATAGGAAAGAAGGAGCAAACCACACCAGAGCACCTGCTAACAACCCACTCCTGAGAAACTACTCAACAACAGTAAGAGTAATATCCACTGCCCGGAGAAATTACACACAAAACAACAACAACAACAACGCGTGTCATACCACACAGTCTCCCAAAAAATTATAATCTTAAAACTGGCAGCACAACATCAACAGCAAGTGACATGAAGCTGCTCAGAGGCCCGAACAATGATTATCAAAACCAGCCTCCGAGAAAAATGTTGTGTGAGTTAACATTGAGACCATATAATGCGAGTTAACACTGCCATATGGGAAATTCTGTGCCAGTTAACATTGGAACCATATGGGAAATTTTGTTTGTGTGAGTTAGCATTGGAACCATAATGGGAAATAATAAGAAAGAAAAAAAACCACTTAAAAAATTAACTTGTCTTTGTCTCACAACTGAAACTTGAGCTCAGCGTTTTGAAGAAATTTCCAATTTCGAACGAACTCTCTTCTTCCTGTGTAAACAGTTCAGAATATCTATGTAATAGAAGACAGGAACCATAAACAGTTCAGAGTATCTATGTTATAGAAGACAGGAACAGAGGCAGAGGCAGAATTACAAAGGAAAACAAAATAGATTAACAAAAATCAATTTTTTAAAAATGTACTCGCAGATGTGTATTTTTCAGGGAAAATTGAGTCTGATTTGAGTAAAGAGAAACACATCAACACTGTCGAAACTGTAGTGCTAGGACAGAGCAAGACAAAAGGACAGAAATTGTTTTAGTAAGAGTTTTATGGCACTTGCAACACAATAAGGTCATATAAATGCTGAAGATTAGAGGTGTTAGAAGAGAGTAACAAACACAAAAAAAGAAGAAGGATAGATCAGGACCACAGATGTTTGATAGGAAAGAAGGAGCAAACCACACCAGAGCCCCCACCAACCACCAACTTGTGCTTGGACAGAGCAAGACAAAAGGAAAGAAAGAACAGAGAGAAAGAAAAGAAGGAGGATGTACCAGTGGCTTCTCTATGTGCTTTACATGGAATTCCCAGAAAGCATTCATATATGTCAAAGCAAAGGACATCAGACAACAGCAGATAAAATAGCACCTATAAAAACTAATAAGAGGGACTGAACAATAACAGAAGACTGTTCAATACAGTAACTGTATAAAAAGCAATAACAATGACAACAGAAACAAAGTCTATAGCATTACAAATTCATTCAACATTTAGTGTTAACTTTAGTAAGAGAGTTTTATAGCGTTTGTAAGACAAACAGGCCATACAATAGCCAAAGATTAGAGATGTTACTTCTAGAGAGCAACAAGCACAGAAATGGAGGAGAGACAAGGATGATATATGTTTCATAGGAAAGAAGGAGCAGACCACACCAGAGCACCCACCAACCCCCCACAGGAGCCTCAAAGTGTGCAGCAAAACTTACTTGCTCGCAGACTGGGAGGACGGTTTGGGAGGTTTCAGAGGCTTGTCCTTCTTCACGGCTTTGAGAAGTGTCTTCATCGGCTCACTCAGATGAATCTATGGGATGAATTTTTATTTTTTTATTTATTAATTTTTTTATAGTAGAGGGTTTTACGGCGCTCGCAACTGCAAAGGTCATATGAGCGCCAAGGTGTGGATGTCAACAGAGAAGTCTTTACAGGGAATCAGACTTAGACTGCTCACCTCTCTAGCTTCAACAGCACAAGGTCTGCTTCGACTATCAAGGCACCCCAAAATAGCAGGTCACAAGGGAGTGACAAACGTACAAAAGAAGTAAAGGATAATGACAATAATAAGGATCAGGAAAGAAAAAGCAGCAGTTCCCTGTTGTAGATCAGGCACAGTTATGAGCGTGACAAGAGTCAACCCATTTACAATTCTACTGTGCTTGAACGAGATATGTTCCCCCTTTGGGAACGGCCTAAAGACAATTCAGTCAGTGGCACTGCCCCGGGGGTCGGGATGAATTAGGATTGACAGAAAAGATAAATGAGCCTTTGCAAATACGTGGAGGTTTCTTCATATACCTTACAAAATCCTTTCCTATTCCAATAAAAACGTCGCTACAGCTTTGAAATGTGTATATGTTGTGCTCAATACGATAGTTCAGCTATGAGGCAGAAAAGAAATAGTAGCCGGGCCATCAGAAGAAATCTTACAAATATTTTTAGTTCTGAAAATATGTGAAAAAAAGTTAGATAAACAAATAAAGATAAACAAAAAAGCAAAAAAAAAAGAGTCTTGAAATGTTTGTTCTAGAGGACCTGTTGGAATGAACACGGCCAGATATAACCAGTTTAGAATTCACCATTTTTCACAAACTTGAGAAGCATCTTCATCGGGGGAGTAGAGCAAAGTTTGAGATAAAAACATGAGAAAGATATTCTAAGCTTCATAGACATACTCTCGTCCAAGGTAAAGACTTTTGGGTGACTGGCATAAATAAAACTACAGCTCCACCTATTCAAGATTTCCCTTCATCGAACCTGTGCACCCCCCCCCTTTAATTTCCAGTAGATAAATGGTCTAGTCAGACAGGTGGTCGTTTGGGACAGTTTCATTATAATAAAGAAAAAAAAATGCAAAGGGGGAACAGGTCATTGGTACAGGTAGTTGTCTTAGCTGTGTATCGAAGCTGATCAGTAAATGTTTAGTTTTAGTGCATTTTACTGTACTTGCAATATAAATAGTGGAAATAAAAGTGCTAAAGATTAGAGGTATTTCTAGAGAGTAACAAACAAAGATAAAAAGGAGAGATTAGGTTGATAAATGTTTGATATTAAAGAAGGGGCAAACCACATCAGAGCACCTGCCAACCACCCATGAATTTGTCACAAGGATTAAAGGCCTCAAAACAGCAGCACAGACACACAAGGGGAGCAAATTCTCACCTTGACCGGGTTGTAACGTTTCATCTCATTCAGACCCACGCTGGCAAAGAACTCGTGACTGTTGACCTGAAACGGAGAAAAATAACAGGGGTTTAGGACCACCAAGGGATCTTTGACGAGCGCAACTTGCGCACGGTACCTCTGAGAATTTCCGCCCTTGAACAAGAAGGCTAGGTGTAGATCTTTCCTACCATAAGATCTGGGGTGTGGCTGAAAGACAGCAGTAAAGAAGCAGCCAAGGAGTAGCAGTAGAAAGGCTGCAGAAAGAGTCAGGAGCCCAGAGGAGGGGGGGGGGGGGCAAAGAAAGTGAGGGGGTTGGGGCAGAAAGTGGAGACGAAAGCAGATGACAGAACATTGCTAGGGAGAGGAGGTGAAAGGAGACAATTGGTCACTTTTAAGCACAAGGGGGCTATCCCGAGAGATGCTGTTTTGAGAAAATCGAAGGTAAAGTTTTTGCTCCCTGTTCAGTTTCTTTAAAAAACAAGGAGAGTTTTCTTTGTAACCAAACAAATATTCACACCATTGAAACCAAAATGAATAAAAATAATCAGATTATAACAAAAACTAATCTTATAAATGAGTCAAAACCATCGGATTATAACAAAAACTAATCCTATAAATGAGTCAAAACCATCAGATTATAACAAAAACTAATCTCACAAATGAGTCAAAACAATCCGATCATCACATAACTAATCTCACAAAGGAGTTAAAAACAAACGGATAAACATTTAAAACTAATTTGCTGTTCCTTTCCTCAACCACAGTGAGACGGGAAACTTACCTCAGAAATGGTCGGGTATTTTCCAGTTTCATTTTCAAATATGAAGTTCAGAATCTGGAAGAGAAATCAAAAGCAAAAAATGACAAACCACAAATCAAATGTTTTTAAAAAGGATTGTTGGATGTTAGACCTTGCTAATTTCTTCTGCATGAAAAGGCAAGCAGTTTACCCTCTACACTATGGATATCTTTGGGAACTGGGAGAGTGAGAGGGAGAAGGAGAGACTGAGAGAAAAAAGGGAAGGAAAGGAGGGAGAGAGAGAGAGAGAGAGAGAGAGAGAGAGAGAGAGAGAGAGAGAGAGAGAGAGAGAGAGAGCAAGAGAGAGAGAGAGAGAGAGAGGGAGGGGGGAAGAACAGGAGAGAGAGAGGGGGGGGAGAACAGGAGAGAGAGAATGAGGGGGATAAATAGATAAAGAGAACAGGACAAAGAGAGGAAGAGAAAGAAAGATAGAGGGAAGGAAATATAGAGACAGGAAGAGCTCACCTCAACAACCACTGGAGACTGGTGACCAATCAGATGCTGCGGTTCAGGGTGGGCAGCGTCAAGTTCGTATCCAAAAGCCATCTCATACAGCAGGTGTCCTGGCAATGAAAAAAAATAATTTAAAAATGAAAGAACAAACAAGAAAGGTCAACAGGACAGAAACAGCACATAGAACAATAGAACATACACAAATGTAACTGTTATATCTTGGACCATAATGTATTGGTGTAACTATATTGTGTGCCCGACAAGGGAAACCACTCTACTGTTCATGCTGGAGGAAGGCTCTCCAATAAAGGAACTTGGTATAGGTTGTACTGGGCTGATCAACATGGCGTGTTGGTTTTGTATCTTGTGTTAGTTATATTTAAGGTATCTGTGGTCTATCGAGGTCGATATCGACCATCCACACCTTTACAACAAACCACTCAAAATGCATGGGCTGGGAACACAAGACAACAAGATAAAGAAAAATTAAATCGATTAATACGGAAAGCATGCAAAATTTCAACATCTACATTCCCCTACTTGGATGAATTGTACATTACAGCTTGCACCAAAAAAATTAATTCCATCTTTTTGGACAATAAACATCCCTCATTCCCTCAAATAAAAACATCAGTCTGAAGTAAAAGACCTAGGCTTCTGATCTGTAACAAAGAAAGATACGGAGATTCTTCCACCTTAACCATCTTGTTACAAGTATTCATGACCTAAGAGCATGCATCAGAATACCATTGAGTTACAGTCAGAATACTGAGTAAATATCTAGCTTAACATTATTATTGTTTATATTACTGTTCATTTATATTATGCATGTGACTAAGTCTGTGTATGTGTGTATGTATGTGTGTGTGTGTGTGTGTGTGTGTGTGTGTGTGTGTGTGTGTGTGTGTGTATGTGTGTGTGGTGTGTACGTGGTGAAACACCGAACCAATGTGCCAGGATCTGGACAATAAAGAAGTATCTTATCTTATCTTATCTTATCTTAGCTTAACTGTAGCAATAAGAAGGTTCTATCGCTACAGTGCAAATGACAAAGCAACTTTTTCCAAATAATGCTCTTGTGATTACATTTCAAAACAGACTAAACATGTTTCAAAATTAATTTTAAAAACATGTTTAGAATTCTAAAGACCTCTTTCAGGCACAATAATGCTTTACAGACAATTTTGTCTCTGCCTCACAAGACATCTTCAACAGTTTTTGTAACAATTTTCACATCCAGCACCCACTTTTGCAACCTGAGAGAGGCTAACAATTTTGTACCACCCACCTGCCTACAAGTATTTTCAAGCCAAACGTTAAAGAATAACTGTTAATACCTGTGGGGTTTTTATTGGGTTTTTTAGTAAGGTTTTACGGCGCTCGCAACTGCATAAACTACCTGTGTGACCCCCCACCGCCCCCCCAAAATGGACCAAACTGTCAACAAGTGGGCGATATTACCCTAGTTGGCAAGCATTGGTATAGACACTTGTGCACAGGAAACAAAGACACTGCGACTGATAGCTTAATTAATAATACATATATTCATAAATTAACATGGATACATATTTATGAGTTCATAAAAAGCTCTGTTTATATGTCCCTCCTACATTCAGAAAGGTTACAGTCACAATAACTTAATGCTGCCCACGACAGCTTTACAAAAATAGCTTTCTCTGTGTCACCGCATGCTATGTCCCAGTTCTTTCACAATCTTGCACTTGGTCTGTCTATTAGCCTTTTCCCTCTCTATGTAACTAGCTTTCTATCTTTATCTAATTAACTCTCTATCTCTTTCTAATTATAATCTCTCTGTCTCCATCTAATTACCCCTCTACTATTTTTCCTTCCTGTCTGTCTTTTTCTCTATCTCTACCCATCGGCTGATTTCTCTCTCTCTCTCTCTCTCTCCCTCCCTCCCTCCCTCTCTCTCTCTCTCTCTCTCTCTCTCTCTCTCTCTCTCTCTCTAATCATTTATCTCTCCCTCTTCCTTTTCATGTGTGCATGTGCATGTGCATGAATATGTGTGTGTATGTGTGTGTGTGTGTGTGTGTGCGTGAGAGAGAGAGAGAGAGAGAGAGAGAGAGAGAAAGAGAGAGAGAGAGAGAGAAAGAGAGAGAGAGAGAGAGAAAGAGAGAGAGAGCAAACACTAGACAATTAATGGTTCCCAAACTGACCAACACAAAGCGTGTCCAAAGCTCCCTTGTTCTCATCCTTGAGTTTTTTCTTCACCAGGGAGTAAACGCGTGATGTGTTGGCGAGGAACCTGTTCTCATAGCCAGCGATCCTGGGGGAAAGATGGCGAAGTTTGTGAAAGTTTTAGTAGGAGTTTTACAGCACTTGCAACACAATAAGGTCATATAAGTGCCGAAAAATAAAGGTTTTACAAGAGAGTAACATACACAAAAAAGAAGGAGAGATAAGGACGATAGATGGTTTTTTGTTGGGTTTTTTTAGTAAGAATTGTACGGCACTTGCAACACAATAACTTAAGAGAGTAACAAACGCAAAAAAGAAGGAGGAGAGATAAGGACCATAGATGTTTGATAGGAAAGAAGGAGCAAACCACGCCAGAGCACCCGCCAACCACCCACACGTGGAAGAGAGAATAGCAACAAAGCAACAGTCAAACCTGCTCTAACAGCCACCTTGGCAAAGACAATCACATGTATTAATAACCACTTACTACCTCCCCCTTGTGTTTTTTCTATATATATGTGAGGCATCGTGGTGAAATCAGGCGCTCCGTCAAAATAATGAAATCCGAGAAATCAGCTTTTTTCGGCCAGTTTGTAAATTTTTACCAAATTTTTATTTTTGGCTTAATTTCTTTTATAACCATGTAAAAAAAAAACATTTCCAAGTGAATTTTACTGAAAAACATTGATTAAAAGCACCAAATATGTCATTTTCTGTTTTCAAGGACTCTTTAGCTATTGGAGTCACCAAATTTTGGCGGCCGTTTCCTCTCTTTTTTCACAACTGAAAACAGGTGACCTCACTTCCTTCATTAAAATAATCTCAAGTTCTATTTAAGGTAAATAGCTTCAAAAGACATCTTAAGCATTTTCTGTTCCTACAGGCCTATCCTTCATAAGCTTTTAACGTTATTTTTTAAAATATCATAGTCGTTCTGTGCCTATGTCTCAATGAAAATACCCCAAGTGTATGTGTATGTGTGTGTGTGTGTTTGTGTGTGTGTGTGTGTGTGTGTGTGTGTGTGTGTGTGTGTGTGTGTGTGTGTGTGTGTGTGTGTGTGTGTGTGTGTGTGTGTGTGTGTGCGCGTGCATAAATATATAATGCATGAGAAGAAAGGAAGTAGAAAGAAAGGTTTTGAAAATGGGTATTCTAATGTAAAGCGAATTGAGCTACTTTTTTGTAAATGCGCCATATAAATGTTATATATTATTACTATTATTATTATTATAAATGGACATCTATTTTATTGAAAGCAAGGCAAATAAATCAGCTTTCAGATGATACCAACATATCCACAAGCCCATAAATTGATGAGCACCTGATTCTAAACGCGCCGTGACACATATAATAATGACACTGTCTGTCCCAGACGTCCACTTGTCTCAGACAACGACAATTTATTCCCCAATAGTAGATGGCCGTCTCGGACAATTTTTATCATATTTTACATCCCTATGTTCAAGAGAGAACAACAACAAAACAAGCACCACACTCGGGAAAAGTTCTATAAATAGACATATACATGAGACGAGAGCCACAAACCTGCAGACTCCGTTGTCCATCAAGACGTTCCCTGACTGGATGTTGCCGTGGGGAGGGAAACCTTTTTCTTCCAGGTACAATAGTCCCTGAAGGTAGAACAATTTTTAAATTATGAAATTGTGAAATTGCATGGGTTTTCAGTTTTAGTAAAAGTTTTACGGCACTTGCAACACAATAAGGTCATATAAGTGCCGAACATTAGAGGTGTTACAAGAGAGTAACAAACACAAAAAAGAAGGAGGGGAGATAGAGACGATAGATTTTTTATAGGAAAGAAGGAGCAAACCACACAAGAGCACCCGCCAACCACCCACGAATAATGTTTAACACTATGCCATCACAAGGCTCATATAAGTAAAAACCCTTGCCATCAAAGGCAAAGGCATTTCGGACAAAATACAAAGCAACTGAGTGGAAAGCATCGCCGATCGGCGAGATGTGACGGCAAAGTGGTAAAAATAATGGAATTGTAAAATTGCATGGGCTTAACACCCACTGCAACACCGTAACGTTATTTTAGAGGCCAGACCTCAGAATCTAGCATCCATCACCGATGGGTCTGAGCCAAATGGGAACATTTGTGAGAAGTCCCTTTACTGAGGACACACACACCCAACTGCGCTAAGCTAATCATAAAAACCGTCACTTTAGAATCCACAAATAATGAAAATAATCTCTATAATATCACTAGTACAACAACAGGTTGCCATGTCTCGGCAAACAGCAACAATAAGATGTGATTTGATTCAGGAAAGTGTGGTGTTGAGAGAGGCAAGTTACCAGACTTGTTTTTGTCCCACAATATCATAACTATTTCTTGTTTCCACAAAAAAGCTTTATGACAATCATTATTAACAGCTGAATTTAAAAGTTTCACAACAGTGTAGAAAAAGTGAAAAATCAACAGAATAACACATTGGCTATAAATGGTGGATTTGCACAGAAAGAGTTTTTTAAAAAACAAACGAAGGCTCACCGTAAGTACTTGCTTGCCGTAGGTTTTGATGTTCTGTACGGGAAGTCCTTTATGTCTCTGACTGTACTTGGAGTACCAGCTCTCTGAGTAGCGACACTGTCCACGGAGGAGAGACATAGATAGGTAAATACATGTAGGTGGGTGGGTACATGTAGGTAGATAGGTAGGTAGGTATGTAAGTATCTTCTTCAATGTTTAACTCTTTATTTCCGAGGGGTGTAAACCCACTATGCCGGGGCCCTTTTTTGGTATTAAATCTAACAATGACGAAAACGTCACTAAATTGGACAAAACAGACTGGTTTTCGGCAATTGCAGAAAGGTAATTTGATGTAGAAGTCGTCGTAAAGTAATGTGCCCGACCCGCATGGCAGTTCTGACCGCGAGCTGCCGGGAGCGGCTTGCCCGAGATAAAGAGTTAAGACCACTGGCCCACATCATATAAAGCATGTACATTTTACAGAAGAGGTTTCGGTGAAACTAGAAGAGAGATAGAGATGGTGTGGTAAGTAAAGTTAGCCACGTTGAAAATATATTAACCCTTACAGCCTTAGTCATCTTCATCATCATTGCCTTTCTCACCCTGGATCAGGACATAGGCCACGAACAAACACTTTTCACATTTCCCTATCCTAAGCTAATCGCTTGACGTCTCTCCATGTCTTCCAACTTTTCTGTACATCCATTTCCGTGACTTCTCCAGGTTCCACGTGGTCTTCCCATGTATCTTTCTTCCCCTTTTTAGAAAACTATTTTCTTAACCCTATCCGTACGTTGTGATTTACTATCGTTTCCATACAACGTGGGGAACTCTGCGCCACCACTTTCCAGAGAGGAAATTTACAAGTTAATCTGATCCTTACGCTTTGTACAGCAGTCTGTCAAAATGATTTTTTGAGAAACACTGAAAGTTTCAAAGAGATCTTCGCACTAGAAGTATTCTAAAATGTGAAGAATACAACCCCGGCGGTACAAAATGACCCCAGGCATATGGATAGGGTTAAAGAGGGGGAGGGAGGATGAGAAGAGATCAACCCACAAGTTTCTGTAGTGTACCTGGTATATGAGATCTTTGAGGGAGCCCTTGAGGCTGACCGGCTGGAAGACAAAGATCAGATTCTGTTCCACGGAGAAGTCGAAGTCCGTGATGGGGAAGATGTGCGGGTGCTGGGGGGAGAGGAAGGTGAAAGTCATCATGAGCATCACTGACTTTACCACATAGGATGTCACCGACAAACACTTTCCACTTTTGTTTTAGCAAGTGTTTTACGGCACTTGAAACACAATAATGTCATATAAGTGCTGAAGATTAGAGGTGTTACAAGAGAGTAACAAACACAAAAAAGAAGGAGGGGAGATAAAGACGATAGATGCTTGATAGGAAAGAAGAAGCAAACCACACTAGAGCACCCGCCAACCACCCACACTTTCCACTTTTGCTTATCTTGGGATAGCTTCTTGACATTATTCAAGGTCAGTCCTCTTTTCTGTCCTACTGGTAAAGAAGCTCCCCTGTCTCTTATGCAAAAACATTATAAGACAAAGTTACACCTATACCCCTACCATTAACATACTATACCCCACCTGTAACATAAGACAAATGTCTTATACCCTACCTGTTTATTTTTGGTTTGTTTGTTGTTGCTTTTTTGCTAAGGGTGTTACGGTGCTCGCAACTGCATAAGGTCATATGAGCACACCACCCTACCTATAACATTCTATAACCTAACTGTAACATACTATATCCCACGCGTAACATAAGACAGAGTTACACCTATACCCCCCCCCCCCCCCGTAACATCCTATATCCTACCTGTAGCATCCTATGCCCCACCTGTAACATAAGACAAAGTAACACCTATAGCCTACCTGTAACATCCAATACTCTACCTATAACAACCTATACCCCACCTGTAACAACCTATAATCCACCTGCAACATCCTATGCCCCCACCTGCAATGCCCTATAGTCTACCTGTATACCCCACCTTTAACGTCCTATACCCCACCTGTAACATAACACCCTATAGCCTACCTGTAAGAGAGAGAACAAATCCTTGAGAGTCTTGCAGGTGGTCTTAGTGAAGGGGACGGCCATCTTGGAATTAAACTGCATACAGCTCAGCACTCTCTCCTGGTTATTCCTCATGTCTGTGACCAGGAACCAGTGCTTGTCGATGCGGCTGCCTGGAACAGGCGGGGAAAAACATAATTTATTAAAATAAAATTCCAATTTTATTGATCTCCATGAAGCAATTTGGTTAACAAAGGCGTAATATAAAACATTTTTTAAAATGTTAGTAGGCGTTTTATGGCACTTGCGACATCAATAAGTGATAAAGTGCCAAAGATTAGAGTTGTTATAAGAGAGTAACAAATACAAAAATGAAGGAAGAGAGATCAGGATGATAAATATTTGATAGGAATGAAGAAGCAAACCATACCAGAACACCCATATAATTTATTTCTTCGTAGTTGGGTCATTCCATCAACAATGACTCTGCAAGGACACAGTGACACAAGTTTAAAAAGGAGATAACTCCATGCACAAGTTGAGCGTCTGTCACTGGCGAGAGTGTTTCCCAGCAGGCTACCCTATACCTGTGACGCCTTACTTTGTTTTTTCATGGAATGGCCCATTTGTTATTTTACTCGGTTTTTTTCCGTTCTTGTGCGCGCGCGTGTGTGTGTGTGTAAGGGGGGGGGGGTGCTGGCAAATGGGCACTTCTCGTTTTCAACAGGTGAGAAGTGTGTGTATGTGTGGGGGGGGGGGGGGTTGTGTGTGTGTGTGTGTGTGTGTGTGTGTGTGTGTGTGTGTGTGTGTGTGTGTGTGAGTGAGTGTGCTTTGCGTATGTGTGCGTGCATGCACGTATTTATATGTGCATAATATGTGGTTCGGGCCGAAAGGGAGGTTGAGAATACGATAGTTCTTCTTCTTCTTCTTCTTCTTTTTTCTACTGCTACTACAACAACAACAACATGCTGCTGCTACTACTACTTCAACTTCTACTACAATTTCAAGTACTTTATAACCTCCAAATGACATAGCAACATTAAGTCAACAACGACCCACATCAAGAACGTGCCAGTTACAGGGACGTTGTGTTGGCCTCTTGCCTCGCCACAGATTGTGCAACAGGAACTCTTGTGTCCACCAGCAAGGCGTAGAGAGTTTAGTCATTGTGAGAATTTTACGGCATTTGCGACACACAAGTCACAGAATTGTTGGAAAAAGTTGGACAGCTGATCGGGGATGATAGATGTTTGATAATAGGCTCTGTCTTTCGTTCTACCCCCCCCCCCCCCCCCCCCCCCCCCCCCCCCCCCGTAACATCCTATATCCTACCTATAGCATCCTATGCCCCACCTGTAACATAAGACAAAGTAACACCTATAGCCTACCTGTAACATCCAATACTCTACCTATAACAACCTATACCCCACCTGTAACAATCTATAATCCACCTGCAACATCCTATGCCCCCACCTGCAATGCCCTATAGTCTACCTGTATACCCCACCTTTAACGTCCTATACCCCACCTGTAACATAACACCCTATAGCCTACCTGTAAGAGAGAGAACAAATCCTTGAGAGTCTTGCAGGTGGTCTTAGTGAAGGGGACGGCCATCTTGGAATTAAACTGCATACAGCTCAGCACTCTCTCCTGGTTGTTCCTCATGTCTGTGACCAGGAACCAGTGCTTGTCGATGCGGCTGCCTGGAACAGGCGGGGAAAAACATAATTTATTAAAATAAAATTCCAATTTTATTGATCTCCATGAAGCAATTTGGTTAACAAAGGCGTAATATAAAACATTTTTTAAAATTTTAGTAGGCGTTTTATGGCACTTGCGACATCAATAAGTGATATAAGTGCCAAAGATTAGAGTTGTTATAAGAGAGTAACAAATACAAAAATGAAGGAAGAGAGATCAGGATGATAAATAATTGATAGGAATGAAGAAGCAAACCATACCAGAACACCTATATAATTTATTTCTTCGTAGTTGGGTCATTCCATCAACAATGACTCTGCAAGGACACAGTGACACAAGTTTAAAAAGGAGATAACTCCATGCACAAGTTGAGCGTCTGTCACTGGCGAGAGTGTTTCCCAGCAGGCTACCCTATACCTGTGACGCCTTACTTTGTTTTTTCATGGAATGGCCCATTTGTTATTTTACTCGGTTTTTTTCCGTTCTTGTGCGCGCGCGTGTGTGTGTGTGTAAGGGGGGGGGGGTGCTGGCAAATGGGCACTTCTCGTTTTCAACAGGTGAGAAGTGTGTGTATGTGTGTGGGGGGGGGGGGTTGTGTGTGTGTGTGTGTGTGTGTGTGTGTGTGTGTGTGTGTGTGCGTGTGTGAGTGAGTGAGTGTGCTTTGCGTATGTGTGCGTGCATGCACGTATTTATATGTGCATAATATGTGGTTCGGGCCGAAAGGGAGGTTGAGAATACGATAGTTCTTCTTCTTCTTCTTCTTCTTTTTTCTACTGCTACTACAACAACAACAACATGCTGCTGCTACTACTACTTCAACTTCTACTACAATTTCAAGTACTTTATAACCTCCAAATGACATAGCAACATTAAGTCAACAACGACCCACATCAAGAACGTGCCAATTACACGGACGTCGTGTTGGCCTCTTGCCTCGCCACCCTTATGTGCAACAGGAACTCTTGTGTCCACCAGCAAGGCGTAGAGAGTTTAGTCATTGTGAGAATTTTACGGCATTTGCGACACACAAGTCACAGAATTGTTGGAAAAAGTTGGACAGCTGATCGGGGATGATAGATGTTTGATAATAGGCTCTGTCTTTCGTTCTACCCCCCCCCCCCCCAACCACTCTCTCTCTCTCTCTCTCTCTCTCTCTCTCTCTCTCTCTCTCTCTCTCTCTCTCTCTCTCACACACACACACACACACACACAACCACACTTTCTCCCCCACAAAAAAAAATCACATCTAAAATGCAAACACGCACAAGATACCATGTCATGTAGGCCTACATATTGTATTTCAGTGACGTTCTCTAACCACACACATTGACCGTCAGGCCACCATATGTGAAGCAGCGTGGAGAAATCAGGCTCTCGTCAAAATAATCAAAGTGAAGAAATTTACATTTTTCTGCAGGTTTGTTAATTTTTATCAATTTTTTGTTTTTTGGCTCAACACCTTTCATGCCCATTAAAAAACTCATTTCTGTGTGGATTTTTCCAAAAAAACGTTGATTAAAGGCACAAAAAATGTTAATTTTCAGTAACCATGGACTCTTAAGCTAAGGACATAACTAATCTTTGGCGGCCATTTTCTCACTAATTTTTCCTCTGAAAACAAGTGACCCCAACCTCCTTCTTTCGCAAATATCTCGACTTGTATCCAAGATAAATTGATACTTTTTTTCATCCAACTAAAGACAAGTGAACAAGCTTTAAGATGATACCAATAACTCTACCTGCCCAAAAATTGACGAGAGCCTGATTCCACCAAGCTGCCTCACATATAAGCTATTCACACACAAAATTAGACCTACGACCTCGAAAAGCTAACATTCCTGCTAAAGGCAGATCTAGATCTTTTAGTTTTAGTAAGAGTTTTACGGCACTTGCAACACAATAAGGTCATATAGGTGTCGAAGATCACATATTGTGTTTCTTGAGAGTAACAAACACAAAAAAGAAGGAGGGGAGATAAAGACAATAGACGTTTGATAGGAAAGAAGACGCCAACCACACCAAAGCACCCACCAACAACCCACTCCCACTCTCTCACTCACACACAAGAACTGCGACCTCGAAACCGAAAAGCTAACATTTCTGCTTGGCCTACGACAGGTAGAATCGAAATCTGCCGCAAGTAGATATTTCAGGCAGTTGGGTCCCCTCGGATTGTGTGTGTGTGTGTGTGTGTGTGTGTGTGTGTGTGTGTGTGTGTGTGTGTGTGTGTGTGTGTGTGTGTGTGTATTTTTTTTCTTCTACATGACGTTTGCAAAAGTGGCGCTTATCGAAACAACGTGCTGCTGTAAGTGCGAGATCTCGATAATGTCTTCATCACGTTCTCAGAGTGTGAAAGTGCTATTATTATAGTTATAGTGTTATCTGTGGGCACTCCAGGGCGTGACGTCACATGTACGGGACTGGCTGTCACTTATACTCGTGATTGGATCACGACAGGCCTGACTGAAGCTTTAGTTTGATTCTCAGTAATGATTTTATGGCACTAACAACACAAATAGGTCTTGCACGTGCCGAGAATCAGACATGTTACTAGTACATGTAATACAAGAGAGTAGAATACAAAGAAAAGAAGGAGGAGAGATGAGGACGACTCTTGTTTGACAGGAAAGAAGGAGCAAATCATTCCAGAGCACCCGCCAACCACCTACCCACAGGAAGGCGACTGACTGTGAGGTATGACGTCACAGATATACCTTCACGACTGGTAGGTAAACCATAGACCGTTTTAGTTTAGTTTTAGTAAGAGTTTTACGGCACTTGCAATACAATAAGGTTATACAAGTGCTGAAGATAAGAGGTGTTACAAGAGAGTAACAAACACCCCCCCAAAAAAAAGATCAGGACGATAGATGTTAGGTAGGAAAGAAGGAGTAAACCACGCCCGACCACCCGCCAACCACCCACTGAGGTATGACGTCACAGATTGACCTTCACGACCGTTAGATGAACCATAGACAGGTGACTGACTGAGGTATGACGCCACAGATAGACTTTCACGACCATTGACAGGTGACTGACTGAGGGGACAACTTCATAAGCACGTCAGTTTTACACGGGAACCGGATTTTCGGCGCACCCGTTTTAACTAAACCGGTTTGGGTTTGAGAATGAGAAAAGAGAAATACTAAAATACAATAACGAATAATACAGTCGTGCTGGGATAAAGAAGACAAACAAAGAGAAACGACACACAGAAAACAAAAACAAAACTATTTAAAACTTTAAAAAATAAAAACAGACGAATAGAAACTGGACTTGCCTGAGACGCCCTCTGACTATCTCTAATAACCCCATATATACTTACTTGTTTTCTTATCTGAAGAACGAGAGAAAGGGGGGGGGGGAGAAAAGGGGGGGAAGAGAAAAGGGGAAGGAGAGAGAGGGAGTGGAGAGAGAGAGAGAGAGAGAGAGAGAGAGAGAGAGAGAGAGAGAGAGAGAGAGAGAGAGAGAGAGAGAGAGAGAGAGAGAGAGAGAGAGACAGACAGACAGACAGACAGACAGACAGACAGACAGACAGACAGACAGACAGACAGACAGACAGAGAGAGAGAGAGAGAGAGAGAGAGAGAGAGAGAGAGAGAGAGAGACAAAGAAAGAAAGAAAGAAAGAAAGAAACCAACAAAGTATGAATGGGACACAGCAGACAGAAACGATATAGGAAAAGAAAACCAGGGATTAAGGAAAGTGATCCGTGTAGTTTTCGTTTTAGTAAGAGTTTTACAGCACTTATGACACAGTTAGGTCATATAAGGGCCGAAGATTAGAGGTGTTATGATAAAGTAACAAAACAGAAGAAAAAAAGAAGTATGATAGATAAGGACGACGGATGTTTCATAGGAAAGAATGAAGAAACCACACCAGGGCACCCGCCTACCACCTTCTGATCCGGAGAGTTTGCTTGTGTCAAAAGAAGCATTATATAATAGTGGTGGCCTAGTGGTTAGGCTCTCGGACTCGCAACCGTAAGGTCGTGGGTTCGAATCCCGTCAGGGACCCGACGTTGTGTCCTTGGGAAAGGCACTTTGCACAAATTTTCCTCACTTCACCCAGGTGGAAATGGGTACCCGGCCATAGACAGTGAAAGATCTTGTCAGTTTGATAGTGTTCGAGCGCGTGAAATCCGCAGCTTGCACTGTATGCTTCCGCGGAAGCTGAGAATGTTTCTGAGTGTTTTCAGAGGGTCTGCTGGGGTTATAATGGTTGTAAAGCGCATAGAGCAAGCTCTTGAGCATGGATATGCGCTATATAAATGCAATTATTATTATTATTATATATCGATGCTGTAACGCTCTCTTGTCACAGGGAAGAAGTAAAACAAAAATACATATAGACAAAAACAACAGACGGAAAGGAAAGAAGTAGGACATACTAGTGACGCCCTCCAACCGCCCGCGATCTGAGTAACCAGCTCATGATCCATTTATCTGTCTTAGAGAACTAAACAGGATAACTCATCATTTATTTCACTTCGGATTCGTCAAAGTTAATCAGTGATCCATTTATCCGTCTAAGAGAACTAAACTAAACTGGATAACTGATCATTTATTTCACTTCGGATTCGTCAAAGTTAATCAGTGATTCTTTTATCCGTCTAAGAGAACTAAACTGGATAACTGATCATTTATTTCACTTCGGATTCGTCAAAAGTTAATCAGTGATTCATTTATCTGTCCTGGGAACTAAACTGGATAACCGATCATTTATTTCACTTAAGAATCGTCAAAGTTAATCAGTGATTCATTTATCTGTCCTGGGAACTAAACTGGATAACCGATCATTTATTTCACTTAAGATTCGCCAAAGTTAATCAGTGAATGAGATAATGAGTGTGTGATTGATGGTTGTATGTGTCATCATCTTTTAGGCTGTTATCTACAGCACTAGACACGAGATCTGCGGGACTTTGGCAAGGAGAGAGAGAGAGAGAGAGAGAGAGAGAGAGAGAGAGAGAGAGAGAGAGAGAGAGAGAGAGACAGAGACAGAGAGAGATATATATATATTTAGTTTTAGAAGAGGTTTTACGGCGGTCGCAACTGCATAAGGTCATATGAGCGCCAGAAGATTAGAGGTGTTACAAGAGAGTAACAAACATAAAAAAGAAAAAGTGGAGAAAAGGACGATAGACGTTTGATAGGAAAGAAGGAGCAAACCACACTGTGCACCATCTATTTCGAGTTTTCTTTTTATTAAATTTTAATCAGAATGTTACTGCACTTGCAACACAAATATAATAATGCCAATATAAGCAGTTAATATTTAAGATGTTACGACAGGGCAGCTCGTCAGCCACCCATTTCTGAAACTTAAAAGATTGTTGGGTTTTTTTTGTTGTTTTTTTTTTTTGGGGGGGGGGTTCTTCAAGTTAGATCATACATATAGGTGTCAAGATTAAAGGTGTTACTAGAGAGAAACATACCACCAATTTTATTTTTTTTAAATGGTGAAATGTACAGCGTTGACGCCCTTATTAACATTTATTACCAAAGAAAGAAAAGAAGGAGGAGAGACATTGATAGGAAAGGAGCCAACCACCCATTAAGACTTTGGGTAGGAGTTAGTTTTAGTAGAGGTCAGAGGTATTCGGCGCTCGCAACTGCATAATTGGGTAGGAGTAGACTAGTGTAGAGAGACAGGGGCAGGAAAAGGCGGGCATCTACGGTTTAGATGAGCGAAAAATTCCAACGGTTTTGTTGCTGTTGTTTCTTTTCTCCTAAGTCGACGGCAATGACCATACCATTTTAATGTCACCTCGCAGAAGGACCCACACCCAAACTTCACCCGCCCCCACCCATTCTCTCTCTCTCTCTCTCTCTCTCTCTCTCTCTCCCACAAACACACACGCATATCATCATCATCACGAGACAATACGTCCATAGATAAAGCAGCAACTCGCTCCATCACCCATCGCAAAGCATGCCGCCCCCCCCCCCCCACAACACCCACCACTGCCTGACCTCACGTGTACCTGGTTCACTGACCATTTGACTTGGCCACTGGCTCTACCACATGGTCTGTCTTGACAGAGAGCCAGCAGGAAACAGATTGCAATACCACAACAGGGCGCACGACCCAGAAGGAGGAAGTGAAATATTATAAACCATGCACTGTTTTTGGTGCCTGGCTTTTTAGTATGAGCTTTAGTGTCACCCTTTGAGCCTTGCTCGCCCATCCCCTCCCCCCCCCCCCCCACTTACAGACATGAGCTCCTTTGGGTTGGCTGCCAGAAGATAGCATATAGACACATGCATAATAAGCTGAAGGGTGCGTTCAGTTCACAGAAGGACAATAGTAATAGTTCTGGCGTTAATGGACATTGAAGTTATGGTAGTGGTAGTGGTAGTGGTAGTGGTAGTAGTAGTAGTAGCAGCAGCAGCAGGAGCAGCAGCAGCAGGAGGAGGAGGAGGAGGAGGAGGAGGAGGAGGAGGAGGAGGAGGAGGAGGAGGAGGAGGAGGAGGAGGAGGAGGAGGAGGAGGAGGAGGAGGAGGAGGAGGAGGAGGAGCAGCAGCAGCAGCAGCAGCAGCAACAACAATTATAATAAAAATGATCATAATGTGTCCATCATGAACTGATGACGACTTTTAGCACCCAAGTAGAGAATTATTGACTTTGTAGCACTAGGCATGATAAAGAGAGGAAAGTAAAGAGACCAATAGCAGGCTGCTTGTAATGATCACAAAAACCACAGAAGGACAGAAGTAGCATACACACTTAAAAGAGAGCATGTATTTTAGTTTAGTTTGAGCAAGACTTTTACGGCACTTGCAACACAATATGTTCATATAAGTGGAGAAGATTAGAGGTTACAAGAGAGTAACGAACACAAAAAAGGAGGAGAGATGAGGACGATAGATGTTAGATAGGAAAGAAGGAGCAAACCATACCAGAGCACCTGCCAAACACCCACAGAGCATATGTACACCGGGTTCATTCAGTTGTTGGAGTAAAGAGATGAGGGACAAAGCAAGGTGGTCATACAGGTAAACTAGAGGGATAGTAAAGAAATCAAACTTCCAGTGGGGCCCTCCAAACAGTAAACACCCGCTTCTAAAGTTTGAGTTTGAGGGTGATTTAGTCCGATTAAAGAGACATAAACATCAACACAGTGACAGTCGCTTATTGTGGGCTGGCGAAAAGAAAGACAGCCACACACAACATGTGACGTCAGTACAATGTAGTCTAGTGCAAAGAGAACACGAGGCAACAGTGACAACACAGAGTTGTTTGTTTGAGTGAAGAGAAAAACATCTACATTATAAACGTCCGTCAGTGCTGGGAACACAGTAAACAGACAGAAAGAAACGACAGAGGGAAAGTAAAGAAATAGGAATAGGACCTACCATTGGCGCCCTCCAACCACTCACAGAGACAACACACTTGACAGCACAGTGACAACACATGGTGATACAGGGACACGGCACTGACACCAAAGAGACAACACACTGATGTTTAGTTTTTGTAAGAGTTTCACAGCACTTGCAACACAATAAGTCAATAAGGTCATATAAATGCCAAAGATTAGAGGTGTTACAAGAGAGTAACAAACATAAAAAAGATGGAGGAGAGATCAGGACGATAGATGTTTGATAGAGAAAGAAGGAGCAAACCACACCAGAGCACCCGCCAACACACTGATGACACAAGGACAACAAAATGAACAACACACTGATGCTAAAGTGAAGACACACGCACAACACACTGACAACACAGTGAAGACACAACACCATCGACACAAGGACAACATGACAACACACTGACAACATACCAACATCACACTGACATAAACACAACACTGTACCAGCAAAGACGACAGACAGGAACATACCCAAGTCTTTGAACTGCTGCATGTTGGTGTAGTAAGGATGAGATCGCAGGTAGTACTGGCTGTTCATGAACGAGGCGTCTGTAACATAAACCAAGATTTTTTTACATCACGGTTCAGACATGATAAATACTCTATACAACGACAAAACACAGCTGATAAAAACCTATAAATTCTTTTCCATATCAAATGGCCACTGGATCGGAAAAGTAAAGTAAAGTACATCAGGGTCCAGAAAAACATGAGTTGATAAAAAATGCATCATTTGTCGTATACATCCCCTCTCGGCCCTGACGTTGTGTCCTTCAGAAAGGCACTTCACATGAATTTTCCTCACTTCATCCAGAAGGGAATAGGTGTCCAGTGATAGACAGCATCAAAAGATCTTGTCAGTCAGTTAATATTTTAGCGTGTTCAATCCACAGCTTGCACTGCAGGCTTCTCGGGAAGCTGAGAATGTTTACGATCCATATGCTCTAGAGTCTGCTGGGGTAAAAATAGTTGTAAAGAGCATAGATCATGCTGTAAAGCTTGGGTATGATGAACTATATGAATGCAATTATTATTAATTATTATCAATAAAGGGTGCAATTTGCCCATTCTCACAGGGACTTCTCTCTCTCTTCCTCTCTCTATCTGTGTCACTCTTTCTCTCTCTCTCTCTCTCTGTCACTCTCTCCGTCCCTTACATCTTGGGACATTCTGTCGAGTCTCCCTTTCTCTCTCCCTCTCTCTCTCTCTCTCTCTCCCTTACCTCTCAGGACATTCTGTTGAGTCTCCCTCTCTCTGTTCATCTGTTCGGCCAGCTCAGCCTCATGTTCCAGACGCTTGTAGACATAGTAGCTCGCTCGAGACCTGCGCGAAAAGACGAGAACGTTAACATCACTAAACCCTGTGGTGGTGGACATGCAAAAATGCTTAGAGCGTACCCAAGCAACGTATGAGACATGACTTTACACTTGCTGATCACTGGCGTGTGTTGTGTGAAAGACATGATTACCTAAGCATGTACATATCATGAGCATACATATATATATATATATAATCTTGTCTACCTTCCTGTGCATCAAACACAAACCTCGACATCCAAAAGTGTGCGAATCAAACAGTTGACAAAAGAGAACTAATGAGCATGATACATCGAAGGCTTGATGATGGGTTTGGGGGGGGGGCAAGGATTCATAGAGTTAACGATACACATGATGTTATTATTTTTAAGTCTTCAATGAATGGTAAGTTCAGGTTTAATATATATATATGCAAAGGCAAATTAGTGACATAGTGTCTAGACTAGTGTCACTGAGGTGTGTGACCTCACAAGAACTCAAGCTCAAAAACAAGGTGCTCTATAGTGGCCATCAGCAATGGTATTCATACAGCTGTCTGCACTGAGTCTCTTGTGTGTATAATAATGTGATCATGACGTAACCCCCCCACTATGTAACCCAACTTTTCCCACCAACAAAGTGATATTTTATTTTTACTTCATGATATCAATTAAAATTAATATTTATTGATTGAAATTTATTTTTTTGGAAGCCCTACACCTAAACTTCATAGGGTTAAAATTTATTCTTTCCTTTTTATTCTATCTTTGAAACATTTTATATCATTAGAATTAAAGATTGACATAAACAGGCCGGCATTGAATGTTTTCGGCTACTAGTCTGGCCAACAGTTTGCTTTTGTTATCATTGATGGAGGTTGTTCACATTCCAGCAAGTCAATGATGAAATTGGCCACATTCCATCAGGAGTACATTAGAACAATAGCAAAACAAACAAAGTTAGTTATAACACATGCAACGGGAGGAATTCAGTGACGAGCGACCACTACGAAACAGAGTAGGATGGAATGTTAGTTTTACGGAGGTTAGGGTTTGGGTTAGGGTTTTAGTTTATTTTTAGTAAGAGTTTACGGCACTTGCAACACAATAAGGTCTATTTAAGTGCCGAAGATTAGAGGTGTTTATAAGAGAGTAACAAGCACAAAAATGGAGGAGGAGAGAGAAGGACGATAGACACGTTCGATATGAAAGAAGGAGCAAACCACACCAGAGCACCAGCCAACCACCCATGGTAAGAGTTTGGGGTAGGGTTTGGGTTAGGGGTTGGGGTAGGGGTTGGGTAAGGTTTAGGGTTAGGTCTTGTGTTTGTTGGGGTGGTCGCCTGTTACGGAAGTCCTTCCCATCATGCAACACCACAACACATGCATGAATACCACTTCGCAGCATTACTCAGACAAGTATGATCAAATTTGCCCTCACCTTCTTCGTTTGCAGCCACAGTAGATCAAAAATAAGAGAGCAAATGCAATTACCATGCCAGCCAGAATAGGAACCTGATAGAGGAAATTCAAAAACGGAATTTTAAGACGCTAAAGTAATGACGAGCATGAAACCAGGCAAATTCATCTTTCTGCACATCCATCCATTAAAATGAGTTTTATGGTGGTACATTACTCTGCACACAGATGCACTGAAGGAAATTCGATCACCATTCATCATGAAAATATGGACAGACATCCTCCTTAATCTAAATAAAAGTTGAAAGTGAAAGTAAAAAATAAAAATATGTCATGCCAAGTCATTGCAAGGTAACCTTTAGCAGTGTAGGACTTTGGTTTAGTTACTGTACTTATTCCATACTCTATTACAATTTCAATTGAGTATCTTCTATAAATATTAGAGGGGACTTAGACGGATAGATTTTAGGCCCCAACACACAAAATTATAACCACGTTCACTTGCTCCACAGTCAGTCACAAAAAACAAAAGAAATACTAGATTAGCCTTAGGCCTAACTAAAATACAAGTTGAGACCTTCTAGAAATCTAGGCCTACAAGTGTTTTGAGAGATCTCTGGGGGAGTTCTGAAACTGGAACGTTTTCTTTGACAGCAGACAAAACGTAGATCTAGATCTAGATCTAGATCTAGATTCTAACTATTTTCAAGGACTTTAATATTTATAATGAAGTTAGTCTTGTTCTATGAGAAGAAAAAACATTTGAACTTACGTAGATATGATCACCTAACCACTCTCCAAAATCATCGGCCATGGTTACAAGTTAAAGATCAATATCCTTTTCCCAAAGTCCTATCTCTTATGTGTCACTCCAGTCCACATCGCTCGCATGGGAACGAATAAATCACGACAGCTCACAGTGTTTTTCGAAAAGTCACAATCAAGCAGACAAAGATCGCAGTGAACTTTAACGCCTGTCATGTGACTGTCAAAGATCAGCTGGCCGTCGTAGAAGAATTATTTCGCCTAGTTAGGCTATTATTATTTTTAAATGGCGAAAATTTTACCTGTACGAGACGGGTGTCCAGATTAACAGGTAATATTTTTTTTCTCTCTGGGAAAAGAAGGCTAACGTGATTATAAATCTGATATCTTAGTTTTGATCCTCTAAAACGTAACAAAAGACTGGGTTAGAACCTTCCCCCATCCCCCCCCCATTTCTTTTCTGTGAGGGCATCCCTCCATACATGATAATATTATCATTTAATTATTTTGATCTCAAGATCTGACCCTTTGTACAGGAAAGAAAATCTGGGCGTTTGTGTCCAGGTGAGGTTCGGGAAAGGTAAACAGCAGATCAATGTCACACAATGGCGGAGAATTTAAAACAAACGACAAAGAGCAGCCACATAAAGACCAACCGTTATTTCCTCATACATCTGGGTCAACTGTGAGGTAAGCCAATACATTTTTTTCTGTTTTTGGTGACTTAAAATGGACTTTGTCAAGCATTTCCGTGTCATCTTCAAGCTTGATCGTATAATCACCTCTTTCTTCGATGTTGATGGTCCCTCCTGTACTGTAGTGTGGTGTATTGATGGTGGGGGCGTGGAGTGGGCAGGGTCAGTCCATGAACAATGGTATACTGATACTGACTGTGGAATACGCTAAAATCAAAAAGGGCTTTTGGGTAACGATTTTGCGGTACAAATAGTATATTTAATAAGTGGCTTGTAATCAAATTTCTCTGGTTGACGGCGATGGAAAAGTGACTTCATTTTTGTTTTTTATTTCCATTTTAGCTAGAATTGTACCGTACTATTATATCATCATATGTAATGTTACAAACATGCTCCTTTTCTAGATCTAAACATCAATAGGCATGTGTGTGTGTGTGTGTGTGTGTGTGTGTGTGTGTGTGTTTGAGTGTGTGTGCGTGTGAATGTGTCTGTATGTGTTTGTATGAGTGTGTGTATGTGTGTGTGTGAGAGAGAGAGTGAAAGAGAGAGAGGGAGAGAGAGAGAGAGAGAG